GAGGAAGTATCAGGCGGGAGCCTCGTTTGTCAGTGAATTGCGAGGAAGTCTCATGCGGGAGCCCCTTCCCTATGGGGCCCGCAGATCATGTTACTAATCCGAGCGGGTCATCGGATTCCTGTAACCGTCGTCACTTTTGGGCTCCTCAGGTCTGAATTTGGAAGAAGTATCAAGCGGGACCCTCGTCTGTGAGTGAATTGTGAGGACGCGTCAGGCGGGAGCCTTCCTATGGGTCCCGCAGCTCACGTGGTTCCTCCGGGTCATCCTCCGGCGCGCGCTCCCTCTGGGTCGTCCTCCGGCGCGTATCGGCTGGGACGCACGTCGTGCGTTTCCTCTGGGTCGTGTTCCGCGCGAGGACGAGGAGGAGGAGGATTGCCAGGAAAAGGAGGAGGGATGATGCAGGACGAGACAGGAAAGCAGGAAGAGGAAGAGGCTGAGGGGAGGAAGGACGAGGAGGAAAAGGAGGAGGAGGAGGAATGCCCGAGGCCCCAGTAGGTCCCGGAAGGCCCAGAAGGCTCCAGGAGGCCCCAAGAGGCCCCAGGAGGCCCCAGGAGGGGGCAGGAGGCCTAAGGAGGAGGCAGGAGGAGGAGGAGGAGGAGGAGGAGGAGGGGGGGGAGGAGGGGGGAGGAATATGGAAACGAGGAGGAGGAGGAGGAGGAGGAAGCGGATGAGGGAGAGGGAGAGGAGGAGGACAGGGGATGATGAGGAGGAGGAGGAGGAGAAGGGAGAGGGAGAGCAGGAGGGGGAGGCAGGAGGCAGGAGGGGCAGGGGGAATGGGGGGGAGGAAGCATAACGAGGGGGAGGGGGAGGAGGTGGAGGAGGCAAGAAGAGGAGGAAGAGGCAGGGGTTGAGGCAGGAGGAGGAGCAGACAGGAGGAGAACGAGGAGGCAAGAGTAGGTGGGACAAGGGAAGGGGCAGGAGGATACCCCCATGCAAGCTAAAGAGATTCTCATGTGGGGTCCTTCCGTCGGAGTAATTGATGGTGAGTTTGCGGTGGGGGATATTGTTTCTGATAATGTTGACGTTGCTGATGACGAGGGTGGTGATGTTGATGGTGATGCTGATGATGATGCTGACGACGATGATGGGGCAGAAGGGGGTCGAGGTGGGGGATGATTGTGACCAATGAGGCGATGTGTATGGTGATGGCGATCATAAGGCGCAGATGGGGAACGCTGCTGGCAATCTATGCCGCTGATGTTGACGCTGTTGGTGATGATTTTGATGATACGTTCTATGATTTTTACTCTGGGCAAGGTGGATTGTGATTCGGCGGATCATGCTGGTGAGGATGATTACGATGCTGACAGGGATGCTGATGCTGCTGATGATGACGATTATGCTGATGAGGATGATGATGATGATGATGATGATGATGTTGATGATGATGATGATGATGATGATGATGATGACGATGACACTGATACTGATGCTGATGCTGCTGATTACGATGCTGATGCTAATGATGATGATGCTGCTGCTGATGCTGATGATGGCGATGCTGATGATGCAGATGCTGCTGCTGATGATGATGTTGCTGCAGATGCTGATGATGATGCAGATGATGATGATCAAGCTGACGAGGGTACTGATGAGGATGATGATGATGCTGATGGCGTTGGTGATGCTCATGATGATGATGACGATGATGGGACTGAAGATGATGCCCCTGACGATGATGACGACGATGATGAGGATGCTGCGTCTGATGATGCTGATGGTGATATGATGCTGATGCCGATGATGCTGATGATGATGATTATGGTGATGATGATGATGAGGAGGAGGTTGCGGAGGCGGATGTAGACTTGGGAATGGTACAGGACTCTAGAGCACGAACACATGGGGGCGTTGGATGGCGATACGCTAAGACAATGGTGATGCTGATGATGATGATGATGATGATGATGATGATGATGATGATGATGATGATGATGATGATGATGACGATGATGATGATGTTGTTGTTGCTGTTGATGCTGCTGATGCCGATACTGGCGATGCTGTGGCGATACTGGCGATGCTGTGAGAGGGAAGAGGCATACTGCATAAGTAAGCACCTGATGGTGATGATGATGATGACGACGACGAGTACGATGGCGATGAGAATGACGACCACGACGACGACCACGACGATGCCGACGACGATAACGACGACGACGAGGAGAATGCGGATGAGGTGGAGGAGGACGAATCGAGGTGGAGGTTCGTGCTGGAGGAGGGGGAGGAGGCGGAAGATGGAGGAGGAGGAGGAGGAGGAGGAGGTTGGGAGGATGATCAGGAGGAGGAGGAGGAAGCAGGCGATTCGGGATGATGACGATGATGGCGATGATGATGAATTTGATCATGCTCATGCTCACGATCATATCAATGATGACGATGATGGTGAGGACGATGCTGATGGCGATGATGATGCGGATGGCGATTGTGATGATGATGCTGATGCTTCTGCTGCTGATGGTACTCATGATGGTACTGATAATGATAATGATGCTGCTGCTGATGATGGCTACGACAATGATTATGATGAGATGCGTGTAGTGATAAGTGCAATCTGAAAAACACTACTAATGATGATGTTGTTGATGACGATGACGATGACAATGACGATTATGATGATGCTGATGATGATGATAGTGATAATGACGATGATGATGATGAGGGTCATGATGCTGCTGCTGATGATGAATATGATGATCATGATGCCTGTGACGGCGATGCTGATGATGCTCCTGCTGATGGTGTTGATGATGCTGCTAATGACGATACGGATGCTGGTAACAACTCGACTGATGATGACGGCGACGGCGACGGCAAATAGCAGGAGGAGAAGGGTGTGACCTTGATGATGATGATGATGATGATGATGATGATGATGATGATGATGATGCTGATGATGATGATGATGATGATGATGCTGATGATGCTGATGATGGTGATGGTGATGGTGATGGTGATGATGGTGATGATGACCAATTATGCTGACGGTGCGGCTGGTGCTGCTGCTGCTGATAATGGTGGTGTTGGTGATGATGATGATGAGGCGGAGTAGGAGGAAGTGAGGTCGGATATGGAGGCGGAGTAGGAGGCGGAGGAAGAGGGAAAGAAACAGGAGTCGGAGTCGTAAAAGCAGGACAGCTATCATAACGTTGTGCACGTGAGCAGGCGCGCTGCGGGGGCTTGCTGAGTGTTCTAGGAGGCTCGTTACCCAACATCACCCCTTCCCAAGAACGTGAGGACGACAGCCTCTCACTAATGCAACAATCCGCACGCTCCATGATGCCCCTCCCTCCTCTCCCCTCCCCACGTCACTCACACCCACATTCCCCCCCTCCCCTCGCCTTGTTCCCCCTCCCGCTCCCCGCTCGGGAAGAAAGACACCTCTCCCTTCCCTCCTCTCCCCCCCTCTCACGCTCCCCCTTCCGCCAAGGAGAGAGATGTGCCACGATTCCGCAGGACTGCTTCCGCACCCTTGGCGCCCCCCCCCAAACCCTTTGCGCTGGGCCGCCGGCCACATCCAGGCATTCCGACCACCCCTCCCAGAGCACCGCAAGCCACAGTGCCTCGGAAGACAGAAACGCCTCCTCCCGATTGCGCGATGCATCGCGGCACCGAGCAATTGGTTCCTCTGTACCAGTCGTGCCGTGCGAACAACGGAACCGGTCGCCTTGAAGCCAAGAAGAAGGACGTATCGATTGAGGACTGTATGGAGCTGGCGCGAGCTGCGTGCCAGAGCAGCTTCGGTATGGAGTATCCCAGCGGCTACGGAGGCCAGAGGCGCCGAAATGGGAGAAAATATTGGCCCAGGGCCCTATGGGGGAACCATTGACTTTCAATTCCCGGAGATCCGACGTTGCAAACAAATGCAACATCGCAACAAATCACGCCCAGAGCCCTAGACCCCATCTTTCTGCGTCACTTTTCGGGCCAGATCGGTCTGTGAGGGTCCCGAGTTCGACCGAACACGTCCGCTGTCAAAGAATGGCAACGCCCGGATCTCAGGGTTGGTCATGTGTAGCCGATCGGGTTCTTCTGGGCCTCCTGGATTGGGTCCGAGCAGATGGGGTCGGAGGATCGCGCCGTATCTCCGATGCATCGGCGATGCGGCTCGATGCGGAGCCCGATATTTTCCACGCCGACGTCGCCGATGCATCGCCGACGTCACCAATGCATCGCCGATGCATCGCCGATACACATCGGCGATGCATTGGCGATGCGGCGCGATCCTTCGACCCCATCTACTCGGACCCCATCCAGGAGGCCTCTAGTTTTGGGTTCCCCACCCTGTCCAGGACGTTCGGGGGTGGACAGAACCCCCAACAGTGACACGTCGATTAGTGAATTCTCCGCTTTCGGTTTTCGAGAGGGCGCCGTGGCCGCTATTTTCCAGGCTTGCGACCGCCAGGTTTGGGCCTCGGGTCGTTTTCACCAAACCACGTTTTACTAAAGGGGGGTCTGTCCATTCCCGAGATGTGTTTTCATGGCTTCGCCATCGGGGGCCCATCGCCGATCCATCGGCTGCGTGCTGCGGGCTTCGGGCGAGCGCCCTTTTCCCCTTGAGCTGGCCTCAGGTCGGACACGTCCCTCTCCAGGGGGAATATTCAAGGAGAGTGAAAAATAGCGAGGTGACGCTGCCCCCCCCCCCTTCCCCCCCCTTCCCACTCTCGCACGCCCTCAGGAGAGGACCGTGCGGAGTGCGTGCTCGGTGGTGGCATTGCAGACTTGATCGAGGTGGGCGACGTTGACTGCACGGCCTGGACGAACGAGGGGAACCCTATGGGTGGAGCCTTCCGTCTGGCCGTGTACTCCGTGGTCGGCAAGAAGGATCGCTGGACGGGGAGGAGAAGGATCTTTAGGGGGCCACATGCGAACCCTACCCCTACCCTCCCGAACGAAGTGAACCCTACCCTCTCCCTCAGAACCCGTGGGGGGTAGGGGCAGGGTTCGCACATGGCCCCCTAATTTTACGCAGGGAGAGACGCAGGACGCACAGGAGGAAGCTGCTTACGTACATGGGCTGACCCTTCGCTGGAACCACTCAAGTTCGCCTGCAACGCCACACTGTTTCCACCAGAACCATGGTAGTGCGGGGGCTCGCTCGCGCGAATCCTTCTCCTCAGGAGGCCACGTGCGAACCCTACCCCGCCACCCCACGACTTCCAAGGGGGGAGGTGGGGTAGGGCTCGCATGTGACCTCCTATCTCCTCACGTGCACGCGCGGACCGATTCGATGCTGGTTGCTCTTGGCATGATTCAGTCGATCGCAAACTGAGATCAAGGGGGCGTGGATTAGCGACGGGTCCCGTTTTCAGGGGGAACCTCGGATTCCTGCCCCCGAACGGGGCGGCACCGGCCGCATTCTGGGGAGGGCACCTTCCCGCTCCATGGACTTGGCGAACGCGCGCCAGATCCATGGAGCGCTGATCCATGTTCGCGCGCCCCCGCATGGTTCCCGCGGGCCTCTCGCCGACACGCAGAGGAGGCCTGCGGGGGTGCAGAGGGGCCGCGCTCCAGAGGCCGAGCAGGGCGCCAGGTCGCACGTGCGTCCTCGGGTGGCTCTCGTCGGAGGCCGCGCGCGCCGAGGAAGGCAGGCGGCCCCCGCAGCGCGAGAAAAGCCTTTGCGGGCAATACTTCTGTCCATATCCACTGCAGCATGGAGTTTCGGGCTCCCTTCCCAAGAAACCCGAGGCGCACTGGATATGGACAAGTTTGCCCCCTAGAGGCTCGATTTTTATCCATATCCAGTGCGCCTCGGCCTTGTGGCGCCGCTTCCAAAAAAGTCCAAGAGGCACTGTATATGGACAAGAATCTTGCCCGCAGCCTTCGGGCAACCAGCCCTCGTGCAAGCACTCCCGCGGTCGACCAGAGGGCTGCCCCTCTCCAGGGCAGCCTCGCGCGGGCGCGAAGCTAGACAGCGCTAGCTTGGGGTGACCTCGGGGCCGTGGGTCAAGGGCCACCTGGCTCTGGAGAGGAGGAGGAGGAGGAGAAGGAGGAGGATGAAAAGGAGGAGGAGGCGGAGGAGGAACGTTTAATTTAATTCAGAGGCCCAGTCGGACCACGCACCTCAGGCGTGGGAACGAACACCACGCAGGCACCGAACCCCCAGCGTGGCTCTCGCTCCCACAACCCCTAGCTGCGCGGCTCTCCTGGGGACTGGTGCAGGCTTGGGCTCGGTTCGAGAGCTTCGACAGCAGCCTCCGTCGCCTGCTCGCAGTTTGCGGCAGCAGCGAGGAGGGCTTTCTGGACACGGAGGGTGCATCGGGGCGGGCCTTCCCGACGAGGATGCAAGCCCCTCCGAATTCGACGGAGATTCTCACTGCCACCTCGATTCGCACCTCGGCACGGCAGACCAAGAAAGCGTGCATCGCCCTCGTTCGCGATCGAGGTATAGAAACCACACCTGGCACAATATGTGATGCAGAAAAACAAGGGCAGCATGAAGGACATGGGAGGGGTGGAGGTCCAGGGCTCCTCTCCCACCCTTCTGCAGTACACCCGCGGCCACAGGCACGGGCGATCCGCCCCGCGCCTCGACCGTCGTCCTTCCTCCGGCGGCGGTGGCAACGGCATTGCCCAGCGCCCGCTCGAGGTCTGTTTCCGACCTCAGCAGCCGCAGGTGCTCCTCCTCGTCCGTGTGCGCGGGGACCCAAACCACCTCGATCGCGCCAGGAGGCTTGCCCCGCCGCGCCTGGCGTGCACGTTGCCGGAGTTCTCCGTTGGCACCGCCAGGTAGCACGGGCGACATCCCCCGTTCCCAGCACCGCCAGAGGGGCTCGTGGTCAGTCACGTACTGGATGTTGCCTCCGACGGACTCCAGCGCCGATGGATCTCCGCGCGCGGCACCGTCTGCCGTCTGCCAGGGACGGGCACAGCACGAAACCAGCGCAGGTCGGTCCACAGCCCGTCCTCGTGTTGGCCCATGGCCATGACGCCGGCGGCGCAGCGCCTGCGCCGCGGGTCCTCGGAGTACTTCTCACCAGAGCCGTCGCCGTAGACCACGAAGCCGCCGTCACGCCTCGTCGACTCCAGGGTGCTGTCCGTTCCGGATCGGTCTGCGAGGGTCCCGGGGCCCGAGTGCGACCGAACTCGCCCCCTGTTAAAGAATGGCGACGCCCAGATCTCAGGGTTGGTCATGTCTAGCCGATCGGGTTTTTTTCTGGGCCTCCTGGATGGGTCGGGGGCGGACAGACATCCTACCCTGACACGTCGATTAAGGAATTGGCCGTTTTCAGTTCGCGAGAGGGAGTCGCGGCCGTCATTTTTGCGGGTCCAGGTCCGTCGGTTTCGGTCCCAGGCCGTTTTCACTAAGGAGAGGTCTACTAAGGGGAGATTTGCCCACCGCCGAATGGGGTCCGAGCAGATGGGGTCGGAGGATCGCGCCGCATCGCCGACGCATCGCCGATGCGGCTCGATGCGGAGCCCGATCGCCTCCGCGCGGACGTTGCCGAGGTATCGCCGGAGGCGTCGCCGGTGAGTCGCCGATGCATCGCCGATGCATCGCTAATGCGGCGCGGTACTCCGACACCATCTACTCCTCCGACCCCATCCAGGATGAAGTCGGGCGTGTCCCTCTACAGGAGGAACATTGCAAGAATAGTCAACAAATAGTCAGGGGACGACTTTTTTGAGCATTGTTGAGCATCGATTGGATATTTGTTGACTCTGTTTCATTGTTCGTCCACAGAAATCCGCCTATAGGGGGACATGCGCGACCTAAATCTACTACTCCGACCCTATCTAGGAGGCCTCGATTCGACGATCCTCCGGACGCGTGTCAACCCAAGGTGTGTTCGGCCCGCTCTTGGCCTGAGCGCGGCTCCCTCGCACCTCCCCGGCCTCCCCGGCCGCCTCGCGCCTCTCGGCGCCTTCCCTTCCCTTCTCCTCGTGCATCGCCGTGCTTCGGTGCGCCTCGCCGCTGGTGGACCGCCGTCTGGCCCTTCTTTCGGCGAGCGCGCTCCCCGACTCGCAAAATGCCTGCTCGCAGACGTCGTTAAAGCCTTGCGCCTGCCCTTCTGTAAGGTATCGTGAATCCCCTGCGGCGGATCCAGGCCACGTGCGAGCAGCTACTGTGCGGGCAGTGGAACGCGCTTGTCTACCCCTGCGGCCGCTGGTTCAAAAAGCTTGGCCCGTGCAGCCCCACCGGTCGCACGCGGCCTGTGTCGGCCCACATTACATCGCTCGCAACGTGTTGAAAGGGGTGCGGAGGACAAGCACACGTTGGCGCCAACACGTGCTGAGGACCCTCGAATGTTCTCGTGGCCTCGCTGGTCTGCTGCTAGCCTCTTGGTCGCCTGCCTTACGTGCTCGTTTTTTCGGGGGCCCTCCTGGGGCCCTCCTGGGGCCCACCTGAGGTTGGGATGCAATTCCCCGGAGGTTGATTTCAGCACCGGCGCTGGTATATCACTTGCCATCCCATGCCATCCCGCTCACTCCAGTTGGCTTCATCCTGGGCTTAATCCGCCCTGCTCTTGCTCATTGGCCCCGCAGTAGGGCATGCTATCCCTGAGTCGATCTCACGAAGACACGAAGACCGCCGACCAGTAGTTCCCTCCTGACCTTCCGGACGGGTTCGACTCCAGTTCGACCTTGGTCGACCCGAGTTCAACTCAAGTTCGAATCAAGTCGACGGACGGTCAACGCATGAGTGGAGCGAGTGGCTCCAGGAAGGCCCCCAGAAAAGGTCCCCAGAACGAGCCTCTAACTTCTGGCAAGGCCCTGGCTGCATGGGGCTCAGGGGGTATGCGTTATCCCTCCATTGCCCGCTCGTCGCCGAGAAGGGGTCTGATTGCGGGCAATATTTATATCCATATCCCATATCCAGCGCGTCTTGGATTGTTTCGGAAGGGGCGCCACAAGGCCGAGGCGCACTGGGTACGGATAAGGATCGATCGTCTAGGCGCCGGATGTTTGGCCGTATCCAGTGTGCCTCAGGTCTCTGGGGAAGGAAGCCCGAATCTCCTAGCTGCAGTGGATTCGGACGCAAGTCGTGCCCGCACTGAAAGCCCAACCCGCCCCAGGAGCGTAGGAGCGTGCGATTTCGCTATCGGGGGCTATCGCCGCATCCATCGGCGACGCATCGCCCGACTGTCCAGGCCTCGGCCTTCGTTGCGCCATGGGACGGGCGGTTCGGGGGCACGGGTGGGGGCCGTCCGGGGTGAAGGCCTTGCCGGCTATCCGGGGTCAAACAGGGCGAGGGATCCTGAGAACGGGGCAGGCCTCTGAGACTGTGCCGGGCTTCTCTCGGAAGCTCCTCCGGCCCGTGTGCTGAGAAGACGCCTCTGTGATCGGAGATCCTCCTCCTTCCTCTCCCTCCGTCCTCTCATGCCTCCTCCTCCTCCTACCTCCTCCTCATACACCTCCTCCTCCTCTCCTCATCCCCTCCTCCTCCTCCCCCCCTCACCCTCCTCCTCCTCCTCCCTTCCCGTCCTCTTGCCTCCCGTGCTCCCCCCCCCCCCCCCCTCACCCCCCTCACCCCCCTCCCTTCTCCATGCCCAATCTCCTCCCTCCCTCCCCCCCTCACCCCCCCTCCTCCCCCTTCCCACCCCCCCCCCCCCCCTCCCCCCCCCAACCCTCTCCTCCTTCTTTTCCCCTTCCCTCTCCCCCATCCCTACTTCCTACACCTCCCCTCCTTCCTTTCCTTCCCCCCTCGCCCCCCCCTTCCTCCTCCGCCTCAACCAACCCCCTTCCCTCTCTATCCCCCCCTTTCCCCCTCCTTCTCCTTCCTCTTTCTCTCTTTTTTTTTTTCCTCTCCTTTTTTTTTTTCCTTTTTTTTTTCCCTCTTCATTCTCTCGTTTCCCTTTTTTGGTCTCCCCCTTCTTCTTTTTTTTCTTTCTTCCTATTTTCTCTTCCTTCTTTTTCTTTCTTTTCTTCCTTCCTCCTCCTCCTCCTTCCTCCTCCTCCTTCCTTCCTCCTCCTCCTCCCTCCTCCCTCCTCTTCCTCTTCCTCCTCCGTCTCCTCCTCCTCCTCCTCCTCCTCAGCCTCCTCCTACTCTTTTCTGAGAAGGCGTCTGTGTGATCGGAGTGGGCTTAGAAAACTCATCAGAAGGTCAGATGCCTTTTGAGCCTTCTGCAACCCTCGTCAAGATTAACCTCAAAGATGTCTTTCGTGGCTGAACTGTTTGTAGGGAGATACTGGACAGAGTTGCGGTGACTGCGAGGTACTCGTACGCGCCGCCCCTCCATTGTCGGTTATCATCGAACTTCCGAGTCGTTCCCGGTCAGACCTTTTTTGCCCTGGCCCCGACATTGGAGGGGCGTCTATCGACATTGAAGGGCGCGCCGACATCGCAGGGGCGTGGTCGCCATTTTTGAGGTTAATTTTGACGAGGGTACTAGGAAGGCCCGCCCCCTCTGCCTTTCCCCTGGACGAGCCAGCCGCCGAGTCGATCTATCAGCAATGCATCCCTGATCCCAAATCGATGCTACCCACCTGAGCCGGTCCCCCCCTGACGCTCCCTTCTTCCTCTCGGCTCGCTGGCGATCCGATCCGTTCCGATCCGACCGGATGTCGCGCTACGCTCCAGCTCAGGCCTGGCAGGAAAACGAGGAGGAGGAGGAGGAGGAGGAGGAGGAGGAGGAGGAGGAGGAGGAGCAGGAGGAGCAGGAGGAAAAAGGTGGAGAAGGAGGAGGAGCAGGAGGAGGAGGATCAGGAGGAGGGTAGCAGGAGGATAAGGAGAGAGGAGGGAGGAGGAGGAGGAGGGGAGGAGGAGGAGAGGAGGAAGAGGCGGAGGAGGAGGAACGAGGAGGATCGATGAGGGGAGGAGGAGGAGGAGGAGGAGGAGGAGGAGGAGGAAAGATCGAGGAGGAGGAGGAGGAGCGGTCCCTCCCTGGGTCCCGCCCGTCCGATCGTTGCCTCTCGACTGGCTCGGCATCGCTTTCCCGGGCTTTCTAATTTTAGTTTTTTATTTATTCTTTTCTCTCTGTTTTTGTATTCTCGTTTTTGATTTTACTTCTTTAGCTTTTTTTTATCTTTCATTTCATTCGTCCTTTTTTGTTTTTTCTTTCGGGCGTGTGCTTTTTTCTGTGGAGCCTTGAGAGCGCCCGATCCTGCAGGATCCTGCAGGGCCAGCGCCGCATTGACCCGGATCTGGGCGCAGGATCCTGCAGGGTCTTGCAGGAGCTTTCGCATTGATCCGGGCTGGGGTGCAGGATCTTACAGGATTCTGCCAGACCTGACTGACCCGCGTCTGGATTGACCCAGGTCAGAAGATCCCCGATCTTGCTCGGCGACGACCATCGAGAAGCATCTCGGGTCCTCCTGCGAAACGTTCGAGAAGTGACGAGGCGTCCTTGCTTGCGTATAGGCCCACCAAAGACTGTTCTAGGAACCTTTTGTGGTCTGCACGAGATGTTCTTAGAACATGTCTGCCTGAGGCTGTCTTGTTTGCACACGTCGGGCTTGTGTTCTCAGAACATTGTCTGGGTTCTTAGAACATGTCTCGGTTCTAAGAACATGCTGCGAAACATCCACGCGCGAGGTCGACCAGTGCTCAGGGAAGGGACGCCCTCGAGCGACGGCGCGCTGGCCGCACGTGCCCCCCCCCGCGCGCCTCGCAGGAGGCGGCGGAGGCCAAGGTGCCCGTGCCGGAGTCCGCGGCCATCCGGTCCACGACCCTGTTCTGCTTCGAGGTCTCTCAATCAGCGGCGAAGCGTCCTTGCGTGCCTATAGGCCTACCAAACAATGTTCTGAGAACCTTCTGGGGTTTCCACGAAAGGTTCTTAGAACAGTTCTGGCTGGGACTGTCTTACTTTAACACACTGGGCTTATGTTCCAAGGACGCTGGGCTTCTGTTCCAAGGTTCTAAGAATATTTCGTGGTAGGCCTATAGGAATGCCGGGACGGTCGGTCCCTGCTCAAGTCCCCGGACCCCCCCCACCCTCGGACGCTGTCCCTGACAGACTCCAGAGGAGCAAAACGGCACCCGTACTGATGGGCAACCTTTCCACCACCACTACCATATTGTAATGGCCTCTGGCCAGTGCCCCCGATCCGGGGGGCTCTGGATTCGGTGATCTTCGAGTCGTCGGGGACGCTGTTTGAGAGGGATGGCGGGCTCTTGGAGTCGTCAGGGACGCTTTTTGGAGCTGTCGTGCCCTCCGGGGGGGGGGTGCAAAAGGCACCCATACTGATTGGCAACCGTTCCACCACCACTGCCATAGATAGGTAGGACGGGGGAGAAGGGAGGATGAGGAGGTCCTCCTCCTCCTGCTGCTCCTCCTCCTCCGCCTCCTCCTGCTCCTCTCCCCCCCCCACCACGCCTCCACGCTCACAAACTCGTGGTGGCACTCGCAGTCTGTCGTGGTGGTCGCGCGCGCCCTGCGGTGTTCACGGGCCCGCGGCGGTGCTCGCATGCTCGCGGGATGCTCTCGCGTGCACGTCGCCACACGGGGGCGCTCGCAGGCACGCCATGCGGTGCTCACGGGCGTGTGTTGGCTTTCGCAGGCTCTCGAGGCGCTTGCGGGCTCACCGCCTGCGCCCGCAGACACATGCCTGGGCGATCGCAGGTCAGTGTGTCGCTGAAATGGCCCGGCACGCTGCTGTTGCCCGTAGATTTGTGGTAGCGTGGTCCGGCTTTCCTTGCCGCTTGGCGGTCGCACGCGTTCTGTGGTGTTCTCAAGCACGCACGCCAAGGTGCTTGCAGACCATCTCGTGTGTTCACGAAGCACAAGAGGAGCATGTTTCGGGGCAGGGGTCGGCCGAGGGCTCTCTACAGGTCTGAGCAATCAGAGCTTGTCGACTCCTTGCAGAGCCTGTCCACACAGCAGCCCGTGATTGTTCTGCCTAACCTGGCATACATGCGCCTCAGTAGACCCGTGGACGTTCGAGCCGATCAAGATGGGATGTCCACAGCGACTGAGTGAAGAGCAGGAAGCGCAATACCTGCGAAGTGGATGCGCCACAGCGTTGTGCAGCACAAGCATCTGTAAATCGAGGCTCCACCAGCAGCAACGCATCTGACCGCCGCGGGAGCGAGACATGAGGATAGTCAGCGCGTGAGGTACCTACCCCGCGTTCGCTTCCAGGCAAAACCAAGTCATACCACGCGCCTCCTCGTGAAGCGGCCTGACCAGTACAGGCCGTAGTTTGGCATCGCTTGGTATCTCTTGGAAGCGAGGGGGGTCAAAAGCGAGGTAGGTTTGTTTGCCCCCTAGACAACGTGCGATGCAATGGGCTGGGGTAGCTACACCAAGCGAGAACGCTGGCTGTGAACCGAGCAGCCTTCACCTGCCACCGCACGAGCGATGATAAGACGAGGATCCGCGTGCCACATCACAGGCGTGCCATCGTGGCGACGGTCTAGCATACGCAACGCTGCAGTGGAGCTTGCAGGACAGCTGCCCCACGCCCTGCCTTGATTGCCCTTGTGTTCTGTCGGGCGTGTCCGCCACAGGGGGATCTTCTCGACAAAACATAGAAAATACCCTAGAGATACCCCCACCAGGTCAAAGATACTCTATTTTTGGTTTATTTTTTTTGATTATTTTGGGGGCCTTTATTTTTCGTCGACAATCCCCCTGTAGGGGGCCAGGCCCGACTTAACCCTTGTGGGCCTCAGCTCCAGGTCCTACGCGCCGCCACTCTGTGCACGCTGCCCGCCAGCCAGGCACGCCGCCGCCTGCCCGGCCGAGCCTGCTTGCGCGCGAGCCGGCGGCGCACGCGCCCGCCCCGGCGACCACCTCGGCCCTGCCTCGCAGCCGCGCCGCCTCCCCCGCGGGCCCCGCCGAGGAGCGCCGCGCGATGCGGCTCGAGGCAGAAAGGTCCTCCTCCTCCACCTCCTCCTCCACCTCCTCCTCCTCCTCCTCCTCCTCCTCCTTACTCTACTTCCGTTATGAAACGTGGGTGGTCTAATTTTCACCGCTTGGGTCTTTGGGCCCCAACATAATGTTCGCCGGCTTTGAGACTCACAGAATACTTTCCGCCGGCCCTCGCGGCATGCCTGCTGAATTTTCGCCGGCGCCCATGAAAACATGGAGCCTGGACCGTTTCGTCATGTTTCGGTTCCTCTCTGGGCTCTGGAGTTCCCGAGGGCAGTCTTGGGGGCCGCACGGGGCCCCCGTGAAGCCATCGTTGGCCGTCCTGGGAGTCTCTTGGGCCCTCGTGGTCGTCTGAGGGGTCTTTTTTGGGCCGCCGCGGGGCCGGCGCGGGGCCCGTCATGCGTTAAGTCGGGCCTGTCCCCCTACAAGGGGATTTTCGACGAAAAAGAAAAAATACGCCAAACATATGCAGAACATAGTCCAAAAATAGGCTGGGGACAACTTTTTTGGTATTTTCTGACCTTTTTGGGGTATTTTTGGGGTATTTTGTAGTTTTCGTCGAAGATCCCCCTGTAGGGGGACACGCCCGACATAATCCATGCATAGTCTTACTCTTGGGTCCCTCCAAAGGCCCCTAAGGCAGAGTTGAGGCTCTCTTGGGTCCGCCCCGGGCTCTCCAGGGGCCCTCTTCAAGACGGCCTCTCGGGCCGTTTTTGCTGTCACGGAGTCACGCTTGACGACTGTACTAGCAAGTACTGTATGATAGTCATCAGTACCGCCAGCATCAGCATCAGCATCGCAATCGTCTCCACTGTGATCATACAAATACATCAGCACAGCCACATCACATCACACTCATCATCAGCAGTATCAGCATCATCATCGCCTTTATATCATCATCATCATCATCATCATCATCATCATCATCATCATCATCATCATCATCATCATCGTCATCTTCATCACCATCATCATCATCGTATCAGTACCATCGTCGTCATCATCATCACATAACATCACAATCGTCATCATCCGTATCGTAATCGTATCCATCGTGCTAGCAACCACCCGTGTTCAGCACAGGTATCTCCGGGCGCCATCGTCTTTAACATCGCTTCATCTTATTCACCATCAGCACGAGCATGATCACAATGATCATCACCATCCGCATCATCAGCCACGGTCTCAAAATGCCGAGTAATTTTCGCCGGCCCTTGGGCGTCGCATTTTTCGCCGGCCTGACAATCTGGCCCTGGGATAATTTTCGCTGGCGTGGCCCCCCCCACGACGTTTCTTCCCCCCCCCACACACACCCACGTTTAATAACGGAATTAGAGTAGGCAGGCCGCTGCGCGGGCGAGGCGTTTGTGGCGTCAGTCGCGCCCGCGCGTGCGGGCCTGGCCAGCCTGGCCACAGAGGAGCTCGGAGACTGGTTGCAGGCCCGCCCCCCCCCCCATGGGGCGCACTCTAGTAAACAGACGCATGAAGCAGAGGTCCCGAGCCAGACCCCCCCCCCCGCCCCCCCCCCTTTCGCCCCATGTCGAAACGCCGACTAAGAAAACGCTCACTTGCAGGCACCGTCATCCCGTGCAGCTGTCAGGTCCTCGACGCCGTGCGACCGCACGGGGAGACGCCGAGCCTCGTCGAAGCTGGCAGCTGACTCGTGCCGCTTCGCTCCTCGTGGGCTCGCACGCCGCTCGGGGCAGACGCCGCCACGTCTCCGCAGCCAGCGCGTCAGCCCATCGTCGAACTTCGAATCTCGATCCATTGCCTGTATCTCTCGATCGAGGAATTTGAACCTCGAGCCTCAAGCGTGGAACCGAGCTCGTCGGGTCAGCTCGATGTACTTCGTGGGAGAACGCCGTCTGGGCGTTTTTGGGGCTCTTGGGCCGTCCTGGGGCCCTCTTGGGCCGTCCTGGGGCCTTGTTGGGTCATCTTGAGGGGCTGGTGCCCTCCAGAGGCCTTCTGAGGCCATTTAGGGTCTTCTTGGGGGCCTCCAGTGGCCTTACTGGGGGTCTCCCATTTTTTCGTGGGGGCTTTCTGAGGGCATATTGGGTTTCTTGTGGGCAATCTCGGTGCTCTCTGGGGCAGTCTTGGGGTCCCCTTGGGCCGTCTTCGAACCCTTGGGGGGGCCTCTTGGGCCGTCTTGGGGCGATATCGGGGACCCATCGGGCCGTTTTGGGAAGACACCCAAAACGGATGTGCTAAACATGCATAGTCTCCCAAGGGAAATGGGGCGGTGTTTGCCTCTTTGGGGCTCTCTTAATGGCCTCTTTGGGCGGGGCCTTTCGGGCCGTTTTCAGACCATCGAGTTTCCTCCCAGAGCGCTCTTGTGCTGTTTTCGGTCTCTCATGCGCCTCTCCGATGACCCTTCTGATCGCCTCGAGTTTGCTCGCAAGGCCAAGGCGCCCTGGGAGGCCCGGAAGGGCCAGCGAACCTTTTCCAAGGACGTCCAAGGGGCCGCCGAAACGTCCGAAAGGGCGTCCGGGGCGTCCCTGGGCGGGGGGGTCCGGTGTAAGGGTGGGGGGGCGGGGAGGGGGGTGTCCCCAGTAATAGAAATATAGGAATAGGATTATATATATATATATATATATATACATACATATACACATATATATATACACACGTGTGTATATATATATATATATATACATACAGGCACGCGGCGCTCACAGGCACGTCGCTGTGCCCACACATTGCTGTGGTGCACTTAGGCATGTTGTTGCGTTCGCTAGTTTTTTCTACGGACAAATCTAGAGCACCATTGTTCGTCGGGACGTTGTGGTGCTCGCAGGGTACAGTGGTGTTCATTGGCATGGGGTCGAGCCCGAAGCCGAATGTGGCAAGGTACGGCATATAGCTATTTGCAGGCACGCTGGTGGTGTTCGCGCAAACGCTGTGGTGCTAGCAGGCTGTCGTGGTGTTCATGCGTATAGTGGCGCTCGTTGGCTACTGTCGAATTGGCAGGGTCTGGCATACAGTTGCGCATACATCGCAGGGCACCGTGCTGCTCACAAGCGCGTTGTGGCGCTCCCAGGCTCTTACTCGCAGACACTGGGGTGACCACATAATTATTGTGACACTTGCAGAAAGTCTAGCATACTTTTGCTCATACGTTCGATGATGCTGTTCTTTCGCGCAATATGGCACTGGCAGGCACACCGTGGTGCTCGAAGGCTATTGTACTGCTAGCAAACATATCGGTCGTCGCAGGTTGTCGCAGTACTTACAAAGATCCAGCATCTCGTTGTCCATGCATGTTTTTGGTATCGTTCGCAAATGTATCGCGGTGTTCGCAGGCACGTTGTGGTGCTTGCGGGTTATTGTGATACGTGTCTGGCTCATGGTCGTACTTGATTATCGTGCTGCTCGCAGACTCTTGAGCTACTTACTGGCAGGGCGCCAGCTCCCGTCGCCGTCCGCTGGTTTCGAGCGCAACGTGATGCTCTCGGACACGCTGCGGTGTTCGCAAACCGCCGTGGTGCTGACTGGCTTACTGCGGTGCACGTGGTCCTGCGGTCTCCACCCGCCGCTTCGATGCTCGTTTTGGGGACCTTCCTGGGGGCCACCTAATGGATCTGTTCGACTCAGGTTCGACTCAAGTTCGACTCAGGTTCGACTCAGGTTCGACTCAGATTCGACTCAGGTTCGAATCATGTTCGACTCAGGTTCGGCTCAGGTTCGACGCAGCTTCGACGCACGAGTGGAGCGAGTGGCTCCAGGAAGGTCCCCAGAATGAGCATCTAACGTCGCTCGCCCGCAGCGTACACAAGTCTGGGGCGGCGAGCTCGCGCGTGGGCGCGCGCACGGCAGCACGCGGGCGGCTGCGGTGCGCGCAGGCCTCTGGGCGTGCCGGTGCTCGACGCCTGTGTGGGTGTTTTTCCGCGCCTGCTCGCCCCCCCGCGGCTTGCATGGACGCCGCCGGCAATGCCCGCGTCACCCTTTCTGTCGCCACCTCGCCCCCGTTACTAAGGGGGCCACATGCGAACCCTACCCCTACCCCTTACGATTTCTGAGGGGGGGGGGGTCACTTCGCTCGGGAGCTCCCGCAGGAAGTGAACCCCAGCCTCCCCCTCAGGAATCGTGGGGGGTTGGGGTAGGTTTCGCATGTGGCCCCCTAATTAGCGTCCTCCCGCCACCCTTCGCCCCCCTTGACGGACGTTACGGATCACAAACGTTCGCATGGTCGTCGGAGTTCGTGCGTGTTCGTGCCAGCCGCGCGGCCGGGTGTGATCTGTGCCTGCGAGAGTGTAGCTCGGGAGCCCGATACGAGTTTCAGATACCGATCCCCCACGAGGTCACGGTGCCCAGCGAGGCGGACATCTTGGACCAGACTCGGCTCTCTGGGAAGCGACGGAAAGCTCGAACGATGCCGGGGCGAGGCATTTTCGGGGAGGCCATAACCTCCCGACCGGAGTTTCGTCGACCAGACTCGGAGTTCAAGCCGTCCAGCCGGATGGTGGCTCTGGACTCGGATCCTGGGTGTGGGCGGAGCAGTCCAGCTCGCGGTCCCCCCTGCCAGCGGGCAGGAGACACGCAGCCTTGGTCGGGGGGGTGCCGAAAGGTGCCCCTGGCCCAAGGTGCCCCCGGCTTTCTCCTCACTGTTGGAGCCCCTGGGGCCCTCTGGGCCTCGTGAGGGATGCTCTGGAGGCCATGGGGGCCTCCTTGGAAATCCCGGGACACTTTGGGCCAGGGGCGCTTCTAGCAACACCCGACCTGGGACTCGAGGATGCGGTGAGCAGCTGGACGCTGCTTCTCAGCGGAAGCCGAGCAAGCCAGAAGGATGCGGCCGCCTTTTGTGAGCTATCACCGAAGAGCAGCCGGTGGCGTCCAGCAGAGGGGGTCTCCAGGACAGGTCTGCAGGGGCGGGCCCTCAGGATGAGGGCGGGGAGGTGGAAACGGAAGAGGCGGATGAGCAGCATCAGGAGAAACGAACGGGGGAGTGGGAGGAGGAGGAAGAGCATGAGGAGGAGGGCCCCTGTGACGTGCCTTTCTGTTGTAGCGGGTTGGTTGTCCTGTGGATGATCAGACGCATTCGAGGTCGCTGAGGTCGCTGAGAAGAAGGACGAGGAGGAGCAGGAGGAGGAGGAGGATGAGGAGGAGGAGGAGGAAGAGTAAGAATAGGAGCAGGAGGAGCAGGAGGAGGAAGAGGGGGAGGAGGAGGAGGTCTCTGACCTTCGGTATATGGTTTTCTGCCATATGCGGGCTCCCGTGTTCTCGACCCCTCGACGGAGGCCTGTTTTGTCCAAGATCGTTGCTGACGTCCCCCGCGGCCCACAAACAGTGTTGGAGGTCAAACTTTTTGATAAATCTTCGGTACTTTTTCACCGAACCGCTCGTGCCCTGATCCCAGGCAGGACTCGAGCGGCATCTTCGCCTGCGACGACTACATGGTTCTCCGCGGCTCGACCGCCGGCAGGGGCCAGGCCCTTCTCCTCTCTTGCGGGGGCCGCCGCGCGGGAACCGAGCGAGCCCGGACGACGGTGACGGCGACGAGTCATCAGGCAGAAACGAGAGGAGGAATGTCACCACCCACCAAACCACCCCAACCCAACCCGAAGGCTCAGATTTACCCTCGATTTCTAGTGGGGGGGGGTCCGGGAACGTCGAGAAAACACACGTGAAGCCCGTACCCCCCCCAACCCGAAATTCGGGTCTTCGGGTTGGGTTGGGGTGGTCTGGTAGGTAGTCAGAATGGAGTATGGGAGGAGTGGCGTCCTGTTGCTTTCAGGCCTGGGAGGCCCATCATCCCACACTTGCCTGTCTTCGGTCGTTGACCGGCTTCTGGTTGCAGCACGGAGCGTGCAAAGAGAGGAAATATGTTCTGCCCAGGGTGGCAGCGCCAACAAGGACATGACTGCGTCCTGGACAAACGTGCAGCCCTTCCTGGACGCCTGGGCAATGGTCGCCGAGGACGGCCGGTACAAGGAACCCGCGGGCCCATCGAACGGGCGCTCGGGGGCGGCGGGGAGAGGGTGATGACTAGTAGGCACTTGTGTTTTGTCTATCCTGCAAGCTTACTTGCGTGGAGGGGACGTTGGCGTGGCGAGGCTCGAAGCGGAATTGGGACTTCACGCGATCCAGGACTCACCTGCACACCCTTTCGGCCCGCCGCTGTTAAAGAAGGCTGCGGAAGAGGGAGGGGGGGAATGCAATTCGCTTGTGTGCGTCAGAGTGGCAGAGATCGCCCCCCTCTTTAGGACCCACCTTAGGGAAGATTGCACCCTGGTGGGTGCGAGTGCCGAGTGTGGGTGCCGAGTGTCGGCGCCGATTGCCGGTGCCGAGTGTCGTTGCCGAGTGTCGATGCCGAGTGTCGGTGCCGAGTGTCGGTGCCGATCGTCGTTGACGCGGGGGGTCTCTAAAGAGCGGCCCCCCCACACAACGTTTCGCCCCCCTTTCCCACTGGGCCCAGGGCCGCGCACGTGCTTTGGGCTGCGTCGGGCGAGAGGCCGGGACGAGGATGCGTCCGTTCCGGGGCGGTCCAAAAACGCTATCGGAGCGTTCTCTGGAGCGCCAGATCCATGGATCGCTAATCCATGTTTGCGCGCCCCCGACAGGAAGCGAATCTCCTCCGACGCTTCGCTGGCGTCAAGTCGGGCGTGTCCTGAGCATTTTGTTTCCCAGCCATCCTGTGGTGTTGGGTCCTCGTTTTGAAGAGACAGTGCCCGCGTCCTCCTTCCTTCTCCTCCCGCTGCCCCCACTCCCTCTCCCCATCATCAGCATCATCGTCACCGTCCTCACCATCACCCATAATCCATCAGTATCATCATCCGTAGCATCATCCTCATCCACATCATCATCAGCATCATCATCATCATCATCATCATCATCATGACCATGACCATGACCATGATCATGATCATCATCAGCATCATCATCATCATCATTATCCTCCTCCTCCTCCTCCTCATCATCATCATCATCGTCATCGTCATCATAACTATCATCAACATCATCATCATCATCATCATCATCATCATTATCATTATCATCATCATCATCATCATCATCATCATCATCATCGTCCCCACCACCCATGTCGGCACACTCCTCACACGTTTCGTGGCCCCATAGGGAGCTCCACCGAAGGTCCCAGTGGCGGCACTCGCATTGCGGCGCCGCCCCATTTTGACACACCCCTCACACGTTTCGTGGCCCCATAGGGAGCTCCACCTAAGGTCCCAGTGGCGCAGTCGCATGGCGGCGCCGGCCCATTTGAGCGCACCTCTCACACGTTTTGTGATCCATAGGGAGCTCCATCATCATCACCACCACCACCACCACCATCATCATCATCATCATCATCATCATCATCATCAGCATCAGCATCACCATCACCATCACCATCACCATCACCATCATCATCCGCAGCATCATCCTCATCCACACCATTATCATCATCATCCATTTTGGCTCAAGGGACTTTCAAGGTAAGGAGACCACTCGTCGAACCTCAGAGAGGCCCGCGCGCGCGGTTGTTTCAGTTTCAGTTTCCTCTTTCGACCGACAGTCTTGTGTCTCTCTCATGACCGCGATCGCGGGTTCTGCTGTCGCGACGGCTCTTCTTGAGGGCGAGCCTGATGCGAAGAAGGCCCGAGTTGATGACGTGCCGACAGACGACGAGATGTGTGGCGGTCGGCCCCCGATCGGCCTGGCCTCGAACCATGCCGCGGGCACGGGCGGTGTTCCTCTTCCTGCAGGACCCGCGCCAGGCTCCCCAGCGCTTGCTCCACCGCCTGCCGCGGGGTTGAGCAACGAGGCGCACACGATGGTGATGGCGGTCCAGATGTCACTCCGGCCGCAGTTCGAGGGAATCACTTCGAAGATCGACATGTTTCGTTGAAGCAGACGACGATGGACTTGAAGATAGATGCGAATACCCAGCGGATTGACGCTTTCAGCACAAGGTTAGACAGGGCTGACAAGAGCATTGCCGAGTTGACGGCGAGGACCGCGGCGTTGGAGCAGGACGGAGTGGGCAGCACGGGCTCGGCAAGCTCAGTGATCGGAGATTTTGGCGGCACGGCTTATCGTCACCATCCCCACAACCCGTATGCCAGGTGCGCATCGCATCGTGGGTACCCAAGACCAGAGAGCATATTCTCGTCGTGGGCGGCTTTCCGCAGGACGCGGAAAGGGTGAAGCTCCGTGAGATCATTGCCATTTCGCCACAGCCCCCTGGATGGACGGGCCTTGACCTGGTGGAGGACTGCTACACCCCTGGACAGTTCAGCTCCTTTGGCAAGATTAAGCTTCGGTCCTCGCAGAACATGTGGAGGTTCTTGAAGGCCTTCAAGGGCCATCGCTTCACACTCGAGGGAAAGATTCTGTTTCACCAGATCGACAACACTGAGAGCGAGAGGACCATGAGCAGGATAACGTCGGCAACTCGGAACTTTCTCATCGGCGAACTGAAGAAACTGAGCATCCTCGGCCCGAGCCCGTCGAAGGAATACCTCGTCAGCACGGTACCGAGCGACTGGGACTCGGGGGTCGTGCGATACCGCGCGAACGACGGCCGGATCACCAGGATCTACGAGGCGAATCGAGCCACGGGACTCTTCGAAGTATCGACGACGGCAGGCAGCGCGGCGCTGAACATTCGCTTCGCCGAGGCCCTGCAGGACATCAATTTCGGCCCCCGCTGATGGATGGGTCCAGAGGAGGCCCAGGGCAGGTGCGCCACATTGCGAGTTGTTTCTTGGAATGGGCGGAGCATCGGGTCTCAATTCAACGAGTTTTGTGCTGAACTGGACAGGGAACTGAAGTGGGGTGTCCCTTTCCTCCAGGAGGCAGCCTGCTCTGACAATTTTGTTTTGCACATCTCTAGACTCAGGCCATATTCCTTTTGTCTCGAGCTCCTATCAGGGGCGTAGAAGGACGGCGGTGGTGGTGAATCGCTCGTTTGAGGGGGACATCGACGCAGATTTCAGTCACAAGGGAAAGGCTATGTCTTTGGGTGTTCGTTGGGGGTCACAGAACATACTTCTCATCAGCGTACACAGGTTTCCCTACGGCCACGCGGGGGAGTACAATGTATGCCTAGATCACATACATGAATTGATAGCTGACTCACCATGTCAACATCTAGTGATTGGGGTGGACGCTCAGACGACGGTTGGACTTCGACATGCGGATCTTGGGGTGGGACTTCGAATCTCCTTTCGACGGGGCGACGCGGTTGCCCCCCACTTCCGGAATTTCGTGAAAACTTGCGACCCGGCCTTGGCTAACACCTTGGACTCGGCCCCCCAGGAATGCTGGACGTGTCACTATGATTATAAACGCGGAAATCCCTCATCAGATCGACTTTGGTGCTGCCCGGTGTCCCCCCCCGGGCCTGTCCCCCGCAAGCGTCCCCCCCCATCATCATCACCCTCCTGATTGCCTCTCCTTCTACTCATATCACTTCTCGCTCCTCTCCGCCTCTTCCCTCTTCTCCCAATGCTGTTTCAATCCCCCTCTCGCAGTGTAGGGAGCCGGCAGTTTCCTGTGCAGCAAGCGGCGGCAGGGTCAGAGCTGCAGTGGGCGATGCTCCCAGCTGGACTCGTGCCTCGGCGACGTGCAATCCATTCCTCATGGGGGAAGTAGGCACCGACACAAAACAACAGTATCTTCCCGTGAACACAGTGGTGGATGTGAAAAGCGGAGGGGTAGAGGATCATCCAAGACATGTGGACAAACATTTGGGTATCCTGGAGTTTGTCGGTTTATTCATCTGCCCCTGGCCCCTTCGACGGGGATGGAGTTCGGTCGCCCGCGTGGTCATCAGGGGGGTCCAAAATCGGGGGTTCCACACACGGCGCAGGCTCTTCGCCATCTTGGGCGTCTCGTGGGGTTGCTTCCGTGCCCAAGGACTGATTCACCGAGCGCGATCCACTACTTGCAAAGTGCCGACTCGCAAACATCAGAAAGAAAAACACATGCTTGCATCGATGTAGTGGATCACAGATCCCCTGCCGCGTATCCGTGTTGTTGTTTTTTGTTGTTGTTTTTTATTATTGAAAACATGTTTCTTGTTGCTTTATTTTAGAAATAGAAATATTAGTATTTTAAATACATACACACACATATATATATATATATATATTTATCGTCCACAATCCACCTGTAGGGGAACATGCTCGACCTAACACTCACGACGTCGGACGCCTGGGTGTCGCCCCGCATCTCTGCTGGGGCCCCGCCTCGCCGCACCCAGACACTCCTGCCGCCGCTGCAGGGGTTGCGCCCGGCAGCACGACGACGAGCCATCCGGCGATTTCGGGGGCGGAAAAGAGAAGGGTGATGACCAGCGGGGGGTGGATAGCATGGCGGGGGCCATGATATTTCCCCACATTTCATGGCGCCTCTTCTTGTTTCATTACGTCCCTGGCCCCCCCGCTGGGCCGCGCACATGCCGCCGCTCATGATTTGTACCCCCCCCTCTCGGACACCCCCCTCTTGGCCGCTCCCGACGATTGCGTTCGATCCGTGCCCCCGCTGCTGCCCTTACAGTCGGGCGTGTGCCTCTGCAGGAGGAGTGTCCGAGAAGAGTCCCCAGAAGTAGTCTGGGGACGATGTGTCGACTATCTGTCGATCCTTTGTTTGGTATTTTGTTGGGGGAATTGTCTTGTTGTCCCTTCCGAGCTCCGCCTGTAGGAGGACATGCCCGACTCAATGCTGCCCCTCACTCTGGGATGCAGGGAGAGCAGGGAATAGATACCGCACTCGGCTCCAGAGGCCAGATCGTTTATCCCTGCCGCCACTCAGTTCCCTCCTCGGGCCCGGGCGCCAGCAGGGGCATGGAGAAGGCGTCGATCGCCTCAGACTCAGACCACTGAGAACAAGCCTGAGATCGGCGCGCGCCGTCAGAGCCCTTCCCGAAGTCTCGGCTTCCCAGAAGGCGCGAGGGTTAAGTCGGGCCTGTCCCTCTACAGGAGGAGTATTCAGAAATAGTCAACAAATAGTCAGGGGACGATTTTTTTGAATAGTATGTTTGACAATTTCGGGGTGCTGTTTGACTATTGGTGTCTTTTTTCATCCCAAATCCCCCTGCAGGAGGACAGGCCCGACTCAACGCGAGGGCTTCTGAGCAGCCCCGCCGCCTTCTGGGAAGGCGGGTCCCCCCCCCTCCCGTGGGCGTGCCGCCGAAGCCGAGGAAACACCAGTCGATTACGCCCGCTGGCCAGACCGACCAGAGCGTCCGGGCCGCGCGTCACCGCTCGCCCCCCCCCCCCGCCGTGGCGCCTGCGGCAGGAGCACAGCTGGACCGTGAAGGTCGATCCCGACGCGGTGTTTGTGCCCCAGCAGCTCAAGAAGTGGCTGACCGGGAAGGAGCCAGAGAGCATTCTCATCCCCCCCCCCCTCCCTGTGTTCCCCCTCCCTCCTCCTCCCCTTGCTCCACCCTCTCTCCTCCTTCCTCCCTCCTCCCTCTCTCCGTCCTCCCCTCCCTCCCGCTTGTTTTCTCCTCCCTCCCCTCCTCCCTCGTCCCCTATATCCCTCCTCCCTCCCCGCTCCCTCCTTTCTCGCTCCCCCTCCCCACTCCCCCTCCTCTCTCCTCCTTGCTCCTTCGTGCTCCCTTCCCTCCTCCATCTTCTCACCCTACCCTTCCCCCCCTCCCCGCTCCTCCTCATCCTTCCTTCTCCTCCCCCCTCCCTCGCCCCCCCCCCCCCTCCCTCGCTCTCTCTCTCTCTCTCTCTTCCCACGGCATCCACGTCCTCCATGCTTCGCTTCCTCCATCTCCTTCCCCTTCCCTGGGGAGGAGCCGGACAGCAAGGGCTCCTACGTCAGTACCTGCGGCACGTGCGAGTCCAACTCCGGCTTCTACGGCGCTATGGAGGCCACCGGGTGGCCGACGTTAGATTGGAGGGCAAGAGGAGGAACAGCAGATGACGGAGGGAGGGCGAGTTTGGAGCGAGGGAGGAGGAGGAGGCGGAGGAGGAGGAGGAGGAGGCAGAGGAGGAGGAGGCAGAGGAGGAGAAGGAGGAGGAAGAGGAAAAGGAAGAGGAGGAAGAGGAGGAGGAGAAGGAAGAGGAGGATGAGAAAGAAGAGGAGGAGGAGGAGTTGGAGGCAGGGAGGGAGGGAGGGAGGGGGAGGATGACGAGGAGGAGGAGGAGGAGGAGGAGGGAGGAGGAGGAGGAGGAGGGAGGAGGAGGATGCGTATGAGTCGGATGAGGAGGAGGAGGTGGAGGAGGAGGAGGTGGAGGAGGAGGAGGAGTGCGAGGAGGCGTATGAGTAGGATGAGGAGGAAGAGGAGGAGGAAAAAGAAGAGGAGGAGGAGGAGGAGGACTTCGTGTGCAAAACGGTAATTATTGACCTGTCTTCGCCGTCCCAGGTCCGAGGAGACTAGAGGAGGAGGATGAAGAGGAGGAGGAGGAGGAATACTAATAAAACTACTGTTAAGGGGAATCCAATACTACTGGTCATAGTTAGAACACTAAGAACACATAATACACATACTACGGATGGCACTGCGAAACACAATACGATTACTACTAGAAATACCCACACTACGACTATTAACGAATAATCCGAAGACGAACAACGCTAATGATAAGACGAACACGACGAATACTATTGATACTGATACGAATAATAATACTGACACTGACACTATCATTCATACTACTACGAATAGTAAGAACCATCATAATAACACTACTGGTACTACTCAGAAGACGGCTAAAACTAACACTCGTACTAAAAAATCATACGAATAGTGCAACGAATAAACGTACTAATAATACTACGAATACTAAGGATACTACTACGACTCATGATATTTATACCACGACGAAGACGAAGAAGGAGGAGGAGGAGGAGGGGGAGGAGGAGGGTGAGGAGGAGCAGGAGGAGGAGGAGGAGAAGGAGGAGGAGGAGGAGGATGAGGAGGAGGAGAAGAAGCTAGACGACATGGTGGAGGAGGAGGAGGATCAGGGGGAGGAGGAGGACTAGAGGAGGAGGAGGAGGCGCAGGAGGGGGAGGAGGATGAGGAGGAGGCAGGAGGAGGAGGAGGAGGAGGAGGAGGAGGAGGAGGAGAGAGGAGGGAGGCAGGTGAAGGAGGGAGGACGACGGGAGGAGGGAGGAGGAGGGAGGAGGAGGGGGAGGAGGAGGAGGAGGAGGAGGAAGAGGAGGAGGGGGAGGAGGAGGAGGGATGAGGAGGGAAGAAGGGAGGATGGGGAGGAGGAGGAGGAGGAGGAGAGGAGGAGGAGGAGGAGGAGGGATGAGGAGTGAGGAGGAGTGGGAGTGGGAGGGGGAGGAGGAGGAGGAGGAGGAGGAGGAGGACGAGGAGGAGCAGGAGGAGGAGGATGAGTGAGGATGAGGAGGAGGAGGATGAGGAGGAGGGAGGCAGGGAGGGAGGGCGAGAGGAAGACGGGAGGAGGGAGGAGGGAGGAGGAGGGAGGAGGAGGGGGATGATGATGATGATGATGATGATGATGATGATGATGATGATGATGATGATGATGATGATGATGATGATGATGATGATGATGATGCTGATGATGATGATGATGATGATGATGATGATGATGATGATGATGATGATGATGATGATGATGATGATGATGATGATGATGATGATGCTGCTGCTGCTGCTGTGATGATGATGATGATGATGATGATGATGATGCTGATGATGATGATGATGTGTGATGCTGATGATGATGATGATGCTGATGATGATGATGATGATGATGCTGATGATGATGATGAGATGATGATGATGATGATGATGATGATGATGATGATGATGATGATGATGCTGATGATGATGATGATGATGATGATGCTGATGATGATGATGATGACGATGACGATGACGATGACGATGATGATGATGATGCTGATGATGATGATGATGATGATGATGATGCTGATGATGATGATGATGATGATGACGATGATGATGATGAGGATCAGGAGGAGGAGGAGGAGGAGAACCATTGTAAACCCTAGGGGCAGCAACGATGTTGGAGTAAACCCTCTTTCCACACTCCCCCGTCATAGGCCCCTACAACGATTCAGTTCCACTGAGGGAACTGCCTCGATGGAAGACAATCGTTTGAAGACCCTGAACCATGCCAAAATATTGCTCTCGGGATTCCAACGCTACGGGTCAGCCTGAATGTTGCGTCTTGGCGATCTCGAATCGTACCAGAACGCCGTTCTTGGGATTTCAACACCGCGAATCAACGTAACGGTTGCGCTTTCAAAATCCAGAACCTTTCCAACACACCATTTTGGTATGCTGATTATGGGACTCCCTGAAACTCTTTCATTTTTGAGATAGAAGACGTGCGCGGTGCTGAGGGCATAGCCAGATGTTGAAAAGGGACTGCTCTCGACCCATGAAACTCTTGCACACATTTACAGAGAATGCATGTGCGCGGCGCTAAGGCGAGAGCCACAGTTTGAAAACGACCCGCCCTCAATATGTGCAGCTCTTGCAACTATTTACAGTGAATGTGCACGGCGCTAAGGCGAGAGCAACATTTTGAAAACGACCCGTCCTCCATGTGTGAAACTGTTGCCATTGTTGAAGCTTCAGGATCATGAATGGCGAGGAAGTCTCAGGCGAAACGCCCGGCCCGCCCTAGAGGAGGAGGAGGAGGAGGAGGAGGAGGAGGAGGCGGAGGAGGCGGAGGAGGAGGTGGAGGAAGAGGAAGGAGAACTTGAGGAGGAGGAGGTGGAGGAGGAAAGAGGAGGAGGATGAGGAGAGAGGAGGTGAGGAGGAGGAGGAGGAGGCGAAGTAGGAGGGGGAGGAAGGAGGCAGTGGACAGCGAGGAGGAGGAGGAGGAGGAGGAGGAGGAGGAAGAGGAGGGTGAGGAGGATGAGAAGGATAAGGAGGAGGAGGAGGAGCAGGAGGCGAAGTAGCAGGGGGAGGAGGAGGAGGAGGAGGAGGAGGAGGAGGAGGAGGAGGGCAAGGAGGAGGAGGAGGAGGAGAATGAGAAGGAGTAGTAGGAGGAGGAGACAGAGGAGCTCGTGCGCAGAACGGGCGTGACCTGCTTTAGCCGTCCAAGGTCCGAGGAGGAGGAGGAGGATATTGAGGAGGAGGAGGAAGAGGAGGAGGAGATGGAGGAGGGAAGAGGTGGGAAGAGGCGAAGGAGAGGCGAATGAAAGGGAGGAGGACGGAGTCCCCGTCGGCACCAGACCTGCCCAGGTGATGTCCCGCGTCGCGGCGCAGAGGTACGTCGAGAGCGCCCTGAGGTGCAAGGCCGCGCCTGGGTCCCCGCGCCTGGGGCCCGATGCCCTCCTCTCCTTCCCTCGTCCTCCTCCTCTTCCCCCCTCGTCCTCCTTTCTCTTCCCGGAGCTTATCCACCGTTTTTTCTAGGGCAAATTCCCTAACAGGAAGTGCCGGGGGTGCATGGACAGAGTTGTTCCCCTTGCCCAGCTGGTCCCTAATAAGAGGCCGTCGGAAGGATCCCGCCATCTCAGTCTCGCGGTTCCTGACTCCACGGCGGTGAGTTTTCCTTCGGCAACAGGGGCCGCCCCTCCATATGAGCTGCGGCTGGCTGCTCTCATGGAGAGAATATGGATTAAGGAGGCCTCAGCTCGAGGCCAGTAATTTGAGTCTGAGCTCAGCATTTAGTGCTGTGCACTTTCCCCGAATGGGCGTTCCATTCCATTCCATTCCATTCCTTTCTCTTCCCCCCGTCCTCCTTCTCCTCCCCCCTAACCTTCTCCTTCCAGTCGGACCGAGGTCTAAGATCGAGGTCGGCTCGGGAGTCACACTCGTGTTCTTCGTGCCTGTTGGATGTGCCTGTGCACCCAGGGGGTGACACCCTGGGATGTTCTGTGCGTCTTGTCCGACGGAGGGTCTCGTGTCATTGAGGGATGCTCTTCCGGCCTCGGTCCGACTCCATACATAACTCCCCCCGTCGCACCCACAAACGCGTGGGCAGGACGGGCCGGGCGTTCCGCCCGACTTTTCTTTACATTTTTTCTTGTGGTTGTCGCTTGAGCACCGCGCGCATTCGCTTAAGAATTTGTTTTGCAGCAGCTTCAAGGATGGAGGGCGGGCCATGTTACAATTGTAGCTCTCGCCTTAGCGCGGCGTGCCTTCGCGTCAGAACTTGCAGCAGCTTCAGGGATGGAGGACCGGGCCTTTCCAAAATGCGTCTCTCGCCGCAGCGCCACGCACACTCGTCTCGACAGTTCACTCTTCAGGGATGTGGAAGGTTTCTTTTCAAAATGCGGCCCTCTCCGTAACGCCGCGCACACCCTTTAAAGCTTGCAGAAGTTTGAAGGAACCGTATGCTTGGAGTCCCACGATTCGATTGTTGTCACGATTCGGGAACTTCAGGGCGCAGCAGTCACGATGGTTCGCAGTGCTAACGTCCCAGGACTCCTGGTATGGCATGGTTTAGGATTGCCAGGACGCAGCATTCACGTCTATTCGCTGTGTTGAAGCCTTAGGAATGGTGCGTCGGCTTCATTGAGGGTTCTCAAGCGGTTGTCTTCCAACGGGGCACTTCCCGCGGTGAAGGTACATGCTTGTAGACTGATGTTGAGGGAACTTGGATGAAGGGTGTATCGTATCATCGCTGATGCGTCTTAAGTTTAAACCGGTCCTTCCTCCTCCTCCCCCTCCTCCTCCTCCTCCTCCTCCTCCTCCTCCTCGCTCCTCCCCCCCCTCCTCCCTCTCCCATGCCCCTCCCGCGCGCAGGAGGGGGGCAACGGGAGGCAGGCAGGCAGGCAGGAGGAGCACGGAGGAGCGGACGCAAACTTTGAAAGAGGATGGGGAGGAGGTGGCGGAGGAGCAGGAGGAGGAGGAGGAGGGGGAGGAGGAGGAGGAAGAGATATGGGGGGGAGGGAGGGAGGGAGGGAGGGAGGGAGAGAGGAAGGGAGGGCGGATGGGAGGGATGGGGGGGGGAGTGGGCAGGACGAACAGGAGGAGGAAGGGGAGGAGGCCCGAGTGGCTGGGCTCGCACCCCTTGTCCCCGTTATTTCGGCGCACCACTCGCACGTTTCGTGGCCCCATCGGCAGCTCCACCTAAAGCCCAAGCGGCTGGGTTCGCATGGCTGGCCCACGCCATTCCTGCTCCCCCCCTGCACGTGTCGTGGTCATATTTGGAGCTCCACAGAAGGCTAGCAAATCTGGGTCTTCATGCCTGGTCCACGACATTTCGTCGCACTTCTCCCACTTTTCGTGGCCCCATCGGCAGCTCCGCCTGAGGCCCAAGTGGCTGGGTTCGCATGCCTGGGCCGCGCCATTTTCCTCAGCATTCCTCAGACGATTCGTGGCCTCAGTGGGAGCTCCACCTGAGGCCCAAGTGGCTTGGTCCGCATGCCTTGACCCCGCCATTTCGGCGCACCCCTCACACGCTTCGAGGATCCATGAGAAGCCCCTCCAAGACCTAAGACCCAAGTGACTGGGTTCCCATGCCCGGTCCACGCCATGCCGGTGCGCTCCTCACGCGTTTCGTGGCCCCATAAGAAGCCGCATGATGCCCCCAGGGGCCGCGCCGACAGACTCGCTGATCCGCCATAACGAGTTATACATCCAAATGTCGGCTGTTACGGCCGACGTTTGCGACACCATCAGCAACCTCTCACCGTCCTTCCCACTCTCGCCTTAATATGCCTCCCTCCCATATTTTCACCTGTCCTGCGGAATTCGTAGCGCTTGTGGTTGGGTCCTTCGCCCAACTGACGGGCGCTCTCGCCTGTTTTCGGGTTCCTGGTAACCAAAGGCGATCCTTCGAAGCCTCCGAGAGAACCTGAAGACGGCCCCCCTCCCTCCAGCTGTTTTCCTTCAGTGGAGATTACGACAGCCCCGCAGTACGAACAAGCTCTCAATGAGACATTTGTTGCGAATCACCGTTTTGTTATTTGTGCCCGATACATGGAGGCCGTTGGACGATGGCGGTGGTGATGGCGATTTTTGTTGATGACGGCGATGTTGATTGTGATAATGATGATGATGGTCATGGTGATGCTGATGCTGATGCTGATGATGATGGTGATGCTACTGATGCTGCTGCTGATGATGATGATAGTTAAGATGCTGCTAATGTTGATGATGTTGATGCTGATGCTGATGCTGATGCTGATGATTATGCTGATGATGACGGCGACCACGACGATGATGATGATGATGCTGATGATGATGATGCTGATGATGATGATGATGTTGCTGCTGCTGCTGATGATGATGATGGTGATGATTATGATGATGACGATGATGATGATGCTGCTGCTGATGATGATGATGATGATGATGATGATGGTGCTTATGATGCTGCTGCTGATGATGATGATGATGATGATGATGATGATGATGATGCTGACGATGCTGATGATGATGTTGATGCTGATAATGATGATGCTGATGATGCTGATGATGCTGATGATGATGGTGGTGATGATGATGATGATGGAGGAGGAGGAGGAGGAAGAGGAGGAGGACAATGACGACGACGGGGCTTCCCGACGAGTTGCAGGGCTTCTGGTGCGCGGCCTGGGCGCCACTGTGCTGCCGTGCTCCCTTGCGCCCTTCTCGGGGGCACGGCTCGGTGGTTTAGTCGACGTCGATTCGAGCCGCGGTGCCATGACATGTTCGAGGATCGAGCCTCGATCCTCCTCGATCATCGAGGAGGATCGAGGAAGATCGAGGATCTATCCTCCTCGGTGACGATCCTCGATCCTCCTCGATGATCGAGGTTCGAGGACCTTCCTCGACCCTACCCGATCATCGAGGAGGGTCGAGGGAGATCGAGGATCGACGGCTCTGCCCCGTAGTCTGGCCCCTTGGGAGGCCTCCGGGGGCCTTCGGGAGGCCTCCGGGGGCCAAGCGGCACGATCGCTCTTCGGGCGAACCCCCCAATTTTTCAGTGCTCGTGTTAAGTCGGGCCTGTCCCTCTACAGGAGGAACATTGAAAAATGGCAACACAAAACAGGGGACGTTTTTCTGGAACTATTTTTGACCACTTTGGATGTTGTTGGGGGATTATCATTTCTCGTCCAAAATCCGCCTGTAGGGGGACACGCCCGACCTAATGCTCGTGAAGTGAGACTGCTGTCGTGTGGCTGTGCGGTGCTGTGGGTCAGAGCCCATGACGAGTGCATGCGCATCGAATTTCCTTGCGCGTGTTCGTTCCGACTGAGCTGTCGCTGGCAACGCTTGGTGCTTTGACAAGCAGAGTGCAAGTTCGTCGCCGGCGCATCCGCTAGGCGCGCCTCCAGCAATATGACGGGGCATCTTGGCAGTATGTCCCACCCGTCAAACACGAGCGGGGCATCGGGTGCCGCCCTCCAGGCGGAGTTTGGCGACGTCGCGATGAACGGCTGGGGCGAAGATTTGTTCGCGCAGCGGTGCATGAACCTGGTCGGCGTTACTTGCTGGGACAGCCCAGAGGAAGGAGGCTGGAGGCTCAGGAGGAGTTGGCGGATGAGGGGAGACAGTCCTGGCAAGGACAGGTGCAGGTGGACAGCCGGTGCCTCCTCCTCCTCCTCCTCCTCCTGCTCCAAGCTGGGAGGAAGGAGACGTAAACCAAGGCTAGGATTGGGATAAATCGCTCCAGAGCGTTCCGGAGCGCTCTCAGAGCGTTCCGGAACGCTCTGGAGCGGCCGCGGCGCCCAATACATCCCCCAAACCCGCCGATTCTCAGAGATTTCGAGTTATCCCGATCCGATTTTGTCCCGATCTTCGCGTCGTTTTAAGACGCGCCGCCACCACCACCGGGCCTTCTCCAGCGAGGAGGTCCCTCTCCCCGAAGCTACTTCTCAACGCCTTCCTGCTGCGTGCCTCGACCTACTTCTTCTGCCGTCCGCCGGGTGCAGCCAGCGCGCCCAGTAAGGACCCCGCGCCTTCCTCGAGTGTATTCCAGATGTCGTAGTAAAAGGGAGGGGGTCTGGGCCCTCCAAGACAAGCCATTTCAGACCTCCCCCGTGGGAGAACCCTCCAAAGCATCGTCCCCAGACCCCTCAGGCCCTCCAAGATAGCCTGGAAGAGACCCCCCCCCCCCCGAAACGAGACCCCCCTCCCTTCATTACGAAATCTGGAGTGCCTTTGTGTCCTTGTCTCTGCGGCCCATCCTTGTTCATTTCATTGGTCGCCCGCCGCTTCAAAAATGCCAGCTTCGGCCTCCAAGGGTCTTGCGTCCTTGCCAGCCGTCCTTGATGCACGTTTTGGCCGTACGTCCAACACCTTCCCACATCACGTTTCTACCCTTAGTGGGCCCCGGAAACGGCAGGGCCGTCTTTCACCGTTTCTGAAAAAGTGTCTCTTGAAGATGGAAACGGCAACAAAAACGGCGTCCGGAAACAGCAACAATTACGCTACCGAGGAACCCCACATACTTATATTATGGCTGGAGTGATGAGAGCTGAAGTGAAGCATGTGAGAATGATGTTGGTGGCCGTTGCCCCGCCGATACTGCTGTGCCCTGGACGTGCAAGGTATTGGGCCACCAATTTTTCAGCTGGCAGCGGTACGCGTGAAATGCGGGGACCACCGTCGCTTCAGAGCAGCAGCGTAAGCCTGCCAAGCTTACCTCGCCGCCATTCTGAATCATTTCTTTCTTCAGCGACGAGCACGGAGGCTGCAGCTCGCCCATGGCAATTTTAGGCGGCATGGCTAGCGCGCCTGCGCAACAACCACCTGCGGCCTTCGATTAGGTACCCTGGCGCTCCGAGCTGGCTTGAGCCAGAGTACTTACAGATCTGGATACTGCGCAAACCCATGCAAGTGCAACTGATGGAATGCACCCGCGATACCTGCCCCCTACGCACCCCCCGTGGCGCGGAGAAAATGCCACGCCTGCCACGCCCCGCGACCCTGGGACGGATAGAATCCGCGGTGACGGACCACCCCCTGCGCACCCCCTGTGGAGTGGAGAACATGCCACGCCTGCCACGCCCCGCGACCCTGGGACAGATAGAGAGACCAGTGAGAGACCACCCCCTGCGCACCCCCTCTGGTGTCGAGAAAGTGCCACGCCTGCCACGCCCCGCGACCCTGAGACGGATAGAGAGACCAATGAGAAACGACCCTCTGCGCACCCTCTCTGGTGTCGAGAAAGTGCCACGCCTGCCACGCCCCGCGACCCTGAGACAAATAGAGAGACCAGTGAGAGACCACCCCCTGCGCACCCTCTCTGGTGTCGAGAAAGTGCCACGCCTGCCACGCCCCGCGACCCTGAGACGGATAGAGAGACCAGTGAGACACCACCCTCTGCGCACCCTCTCTGGTGTCGAGAAAGTGCACGCCTGCACGCCCCGCGACCTGAGACAGATAGAGAGACCAGTGAGAGACCACCCCTGCGCACCCTCTCTGGTGTCGAGAAAGTGCCACGCCTGCCACGCCCCGCGACCCTGAGACGGATAGAGAGACCAGTGAGAGACCACCCCCTGCGCACCCTCTCTGGTGTCGAGAAAGTGCCACGCCTGCCACGCCCCGCGACCCTGAGACGGATAGACAGACCAGTGAGAGACCACCCCCTGCGCACCCTCTCTGGTGTCGAGAAAGTGCCACGCCTGCCACGCCCCGCGACCCTGAGGCGGATACAGAGACCAATGAGAAACGACCCTCTGCGCACCCTCTGTGGTGTCGAGAAAGTGCCACGCCTGCCACGCCCCGCGACCCTGAGACGGATAGAGAGACCAGTGAGAGACCACCCCCTGCGCACCCTCTCTGGTGTCGAGAAAGTGCCACGCCTGCCACGCCCCGCGACCCTGAGACGGATAGAGAGACCAGTGAGAGACCACCCCCTGCGCACCCTCTCTGGTGTCGAGAAAGTGCCACGCCTGCCACGCCCCGCGACCCCCTCTCTGGTGTCGAGAAAGTGCCACGCCTGCCACGCCCCGCGACCCTGAGACGGATATAGAGAAACCACCCCTGCGCACCCTCTCTGGTGTCGAGAAAGTGCCACGCCTGCCAACGACCCCCGGTGAGAGACCACCCCTGCGCACCCTCTCTGGTGTCGAGAAAGTGCCACGCCTGCCACGCCCGCGACCCTGAGACGGATAGAGAGACCAGTGAGAGACCACCCCCTGCGCACCCTCTCTGGTGTCGAGAAAGTGCCACGCCTGCCACGCCCCGCGACCCTGAGACGGATAGAGAGACCAGTGAGAGACCACCCCCTGCGCACCCTCTCTGGTGTCGAGAAAGTGCCACGCCTGCCACGCCCCGCGACCCTGAGACGGATAGAGAGACCAGTGAGAGACCACCCCCTGCGCACCCTCTCTGGTGTCGAGAAAGTGCCACGCCTGCCACGCCCCGCGACCCTGAGACGGATAGAGAGACCAGTGAGAGACCACCCCCTGCGCACCCTCTCTGGTGTCGAGAAAGTGCCACGCCTGCCACGCCCCGCGACCCTGAGACGGATAGAGAGACCAGTGAGAGACCACCCCCTGCGCACCCTCTCTGGTGTCGAGAAAGTGCCACGCCTGCCACGCCCCGCGACCCTGAGACGGATAGAGAGACCAGTGAGAGACCACCCCCTGCGCACCCTCTCTGGTGTCGAGAAAGTGCCACGCCTGCCACGCCCCGCGACCCTGAGACGGATAGAGAGACGCCATAGAGAGACCCCAGTGAGAGACCACCCTGCGCACCCTCTCTGGTGTCGAGAAAGTGCCACGCCTGCCACGCCCCGCGACCCTGACGGATAGAGAGACCAGTCTGCGCACCCTCTCGTGCGAGGTGCCACGCCTGCCACGCCCCGCGACCCGACGGATAGAGAGACCAGTGAGAGACCACCCCTTGCGCACCCTCTCTGGTGTCGAGAAAGTGCCACGCCTGCCACGCCCGCGACCCTGAGACGGATAGGGAGACCAATGAGAGACCACCCCCTGCGCACCCTCTCTGGTGTCGAGAAAGTGCCACGCCTGCCACGCCCCGCGACCCTGAGACGGATAGAGAGACCAGTGAGAGACCACCCCCAGCGCACCCTCTCTGGTGTCGAGAAAGTGCCACGCCTGCCACGCCCCGCGACCCTGAGACGGATAGAGAGACCAGTGAGAGACCACCCCCTGCGCACCCTCTCTGGTGTCGAGAAAGTGCCACGCCTGCCACGCCCCGCGACCCTGAGACGGATAGAGAGACCAGTGAGAGACCACCCCCTGCGCACCCTCTCTGGCGTCGAGAAAGTGCCACGCCTGCCACGCCCCGCGACCCTGAGACGGATAGAGAACCGCGGTGAGAGACCACCCCCTGCACGTCTGTGTGCTGTTTGCCTGTTTGCTGCGTGTGCGTGCTGTGTCTGTTTGTGCTGGTATTGTGTACGGGTGCTGTTTGTGTGCTGTGTGTCTGTGTGCTGCGTGTATGGTGGATGTATGTGATGACTGTGATGTCGACTGTGGATGTGTGTCTGCTGTGTGCTCATGTGTCTGCTTGTGCTGATGTGGGGAACCAGAAAAAGAGAGAGGGAATCATCACACCAGCCCCTGGATGTGTGGAGGGAAGAGGGAAGGAGGGGTGAGGAGGAAGAGGAGAAACGCGGGTGCGACGCGGCAGGGAAAGAAAACCAGAACCCCACTATGCATGTGGGGTAAAACGGCTTTGGGATTGGAGAAAAACGGCGACGGAACCAGTAACAAAAACGGCGTTGGAATCGGCAACAAAAACGGCAAAACGGAACCGGTGAAAAAACGGCTCTGTCGTTTCCAGAGCCCACCCAGTTTCTACCCACTTCTTCCAACCGACGGGTAGTTTCACTCGCTCCGGCGCGTTCCCCACTGCTCGAGGCGCCAAAATCGCAGAGCGAGCGGATTTCGCTCGGAAAACCATGGGATTGGCCCAGATCGTCTTGGAGAATTTCGTTCTGGATTTCGAAGTGCATTTTACGCGGGATGGATACTACAGAAAATCCACGTGAGATTCGGTTAATTTTTCGCTCGCCGCTTCGGGGTCCTGCGTTGACAGCACTGCACGTGAAAATCCGCTGCACCACGTCTGCAAGATCGGTGCAACGGCACTGCTCGAGTGCGCATTCTCGATCACTCCTGCGGCTGGTGTTCAGTCGGGCCTGTCCGTCTGCAGGAGGCATATTCCCAAATAGTCAAAACTTAGTCTGGGGACTCCTTTTTTGTTTAGTGCTGTTGGGCCATTTTGGGTGTTTTTTTTGTCAGGTTTTTGATAGCAGGCACGGGGGGGGACCGGCTCAGAGTTAGGGCGGGCGTGTCCCCCTACAGGGGGATTTTCGACGAAAAATACAAGATACCCCAAAAATAGTGCAAAGATAGTTCAAAAATAGTCTGGGGACTATTTTTCGCGTATTGTGACCTTTTTGGGGCATGTTTGGGGTATTCTCCATTTTTCGTCGAGAATCCCCCCGTAAGGGGGACACGCCCGCTTTAAAGGTATGGGCGAAGAGAACTATGCACATGCACCGATCCTGGCAAGGTCCTT